GGGCTAACTTGGTGTGGTGAGCGTGGATGCGGTGACCGAACAGCGATGGGAGGAATACTGGGTTGTTTTTAAACAAGAGTTTGATTTAGTTTTTAATTTTGTGATGGGAGGAAGACTGGTTTGCTTTTAAACAGTTGTTTAATTTCATTTTAATTTTGGGTGGCCAATGTTGTGGGTAGTCTTTGGTAAACTTGATGATGAGATAGATGTTGTAATAGATTGTTGACAATATTTAAAGTTGTAATAGATTGTTTAGATTCCCTCGACAAGTCAGTCCTAGAACTCATAAGAGGAAGAGCTGATGTCTCACTTGGTTGAGATATCCTGCTTCTAGTTCTTGTTTCCTTGGTGAAACATGAACTCTTGTTGATCTATCTCTCTTGTGGTGCTATCAAAGTGCTGCCGAAATTTTTTACTACACACAAGAATACAAGTTGGATCGATGACGGAGACTGGCAAAAATCCGATGGAAGGGATCATCAAGAAGTTGAATCCTGAGGAGATCTCAACACTGATGCAACTGATGAGGTTGTCGGCGGGAGAGAGCTCGACAAAGCCACAACCCAAGAAGGTAGAGCTTCCACCTATCGGTGTAAAACTTGATGGATCCGCGACATATCTAAGTTGGTCGTGTCGGGTGAAATATACCCTTGCTGGGAGGAGCATAGAGGGATATCTAACAGGGGAGAACACTGAGCCGGCTGAGGACTCAGCAGGGAGAGATGAGTGGAAGTCCACTCATATGTTGGTGTACATCTGGCTTCTAAATTCTGTAGTCCAGCTAATTGCTGCCACAGTGGATGGCCTTGGGAGAGTGCATGATGTCTGGGAGAAACTGAGGAGGACCTACTATGGGGTGGGAAATAACCTGAGGGTAATCCAGATCGAGAAGGAGATCAACGCTACAATCCAGGGAGAGAGGACTGTACAGGAGTATGCTACAGAGTTGGAGCGCTTGTGGCTCGATCACGATCACTTCTCGCCCCTAGCAAGCTGCAAGGACTCGGAGTGCAAGGAACGCGAGGCCTCTCTGCAGAAGAGGACTATGTTGTTTCTTCGAGGTTTGGCTCCAGCGTATGAGCAGAGAACGGCGTTGCTACTAACCCAGACAAAGATCCCATCACTGGAGGAGACAGTCTCGGCCATGATACAGGAGGAGAACCGTATCAGGCTATAGGCTGGGACAGGTAGACTTACAGGGGAGAAGTCTGCACTGGTGGTATCCAATCCGGATAATACTAGATTCAGAGGGGAGACTAGACAGTACTTTAACTGTGGAGAGGTAGGGCATCTAAGACAGATGTGCCCTAAGCCACCCAGGGAGAGGAATTAGGGTGAACGTGGTCAGGCTGGAGGCCATGGCCGTGGGCGTGGAGGCAGGCGAGGTGGAAGAGGAGGCCACCGGGAAAACTTGACAGTGGCAGAAAGGGAAGAAGAAGCTGAGATGATCTTCACTGATGAGGATCGGGCTCTCTTGGCAGCACTGAGGAGGAAGCAGAGAGCAGTAGGTGATGTGTCCGAGGAGTCATTTACTACTTTCACTGGAGGGGACTATGCCAATTACGCCCTTAGTGCACACCCAAATGAGGGAAGATGCACCGCCTAGATAATAGATTCTGGAGCATCCAGACATGTGACAGGCAATGCCAGTGAGTTCTTATCTTACACTCACTTAGCAGAAGCAGAGAGCATCCAAATTATTGATGGTACAGCACAGGATGTGGTTGGTAAGGGCACTGTTAGTTGTACAGGTTCTATAACTTTATCTAATATTCTGTATGCTCCTTCATTTCCTGTTAGCCTGTTATCCATTAGTGTCATTATCCTCCTACTAAATTGTATTGTTTCTTTTGACATTTCCAAGGTAATTTTTCATTAGAAAGGGACAGGACGAAGACTTGGGATTGGGACATGGCGTAGCGGGCTGTGGTACTTGGACCGCGAAGGGATGGACTCAGCGTTGACTTCTGTGGTGGAAAGGACAGGAATAGGAGGAGCTAAAGTCTGTGCAGAAGATGAGTTGATGCTTTACCATCAGCGAATGGGACATCCGTCATTTGGTATTTTGGGTAAAATGTATCCAACTCTGTTTGGAAAAGTAAATAAACAGAAGTTGCAGTGTGATGCTTGTGAGTTTGGGAAGCAGACTAGAAACTCTTATGTTAGTTCGGGTAGTAGGAGTTCTTGTAAGTTTGAAGTAATACACTCTGATGTATGGGGACCCTGCCTAGTAAATTCTACAAATGGATGCAAGTTTTTTGTAACATTTATTGATTGCTTCTCTAGAGTTACTTGGGTGTATCTTATGAAAAACAAAAGTGATGTAGTTGGTTGTTTCAAAGATTTTCATAAGCACATCCAGACTTAGTATTGTGCAGCAGTAAAAGTGTTAAGGTCGGATAATGGGACAGAGTACACCAATAGAACACTTGGGGAGTATCTGTCAGCTCAGGGGATTCTACACCAGACTACATGCCCATACACCCCAGCTCAGAATGGGGTAGCAGAGAGGAAGAACAGACATCTCTTAGAAGTTGCAAGGAGTACAATGATGGCGATGAACGTCCCAAAGGTGTTGTGGCGATAAGCAGTATTGACTTCTGCTTACTTAATCAACCGGATGCCTTCGAGTGTGTTGGAGTGGAAGTCTTCTCGTGAGACACTGAAGGGAGATAATGGGGGGCCCTACGCTTGAAGGTATTTGGCTGTGTGTGCTTTGTGAAGGACAACAGACCATCGGTTGGGAAGCTAGACCCTAGGGCTATGAAGTGTATATTCGTGGGCTATAATGGCACCTAGAAAGGGTATGTCTGCTGGAGCCCGATAGAAAAGAGGCTGTTTGTCAGCATGGATGTGCGGTTTCGAGAGCTCAAGCCGTACTACACAGTGGGGGGTTACTTCACCTTTTGGCGACTTGCCCGATACTGGAGGTACGAGGCAAGAGGGAGGGAATGGTGAGAGCTCAAGGGGGTCAATCCCAATTTTGATCCCGTACTCAGTAGAGAAGGAGGATGAAGACGAAGGGGGGGAGGAGGAGACAAGGGTGTTAGGCCTACAGCTCAAGGGGAGTTGCTTACATACAGTAGGAGGGGGAAGGAGCCAGACGTGCCTACAGTGACAGTGCCAGTGCCTAGTCCTTTGTCCAGCTCTACTCCAACTCCTGAGACACCTACACCACCCTCCACTCTAAGTAATACCATTCCTACTCCTGCCTCTCTCCCGACACCAATGTCAGAGAGGATGACTACTTATAGTAATGCGGGAAATCCTCCTAAGAGATATGGTTGGGATCTAGATCAATTTGTCTCCTACTCTCACATATCCCCTTCACACGGAGCATTCATTACATCATTAGATTCTATTATTATACCTAACAACTGGCAGGATGCTAAGAAGGACTCAAAGTGGAAGGCTGCTATGCATGAGGAGTTGGGGGCTCTTGAGAAGAGCCACACGTGGGAGTTAGCGACACTGCCAGCAGGGAAAAGAGCAGTGGGATGCAAGTGGGTGTTTACTGTGAAGCAGAACCCAGAAGGGAAGGTTGAACGATATAAGGCACGACTGGTGGCAAAAGGGTACAGCCAGACATACGGCATTGACTACGATGAGACTTTTGCACCAGTGGTGAAAGTGAGTATTGTTCGAACGTTGATTTCTCTAGAAACAAATGGTGGATGGAAACTACACCAACTGGATGTGAAGAATGCGTTTCTTCATGGAGATCTAGTGGCAGAGGTGTATATAGAGATACCACCTGGATGTGGCACAGGACAGACAGTAGGTAAGGTCTGCGGGCTGAAGAAGTCTCTGTATGGGCTGAAGCAGTCCCCTCGAGCATGGTTTGACAGGTTCAGGAGAGCCATGTTTAGTATGGGATACAGACAGATCAATGCCGACCATATTGTATTCTTCAGAAGAAGTAGGGGTCACATCACTATGATAACAATGTATGTGGATGACATGATTATCACAGGAAATGATGAGAAGGAGATTGCTCAGCTCAAGGTAAGATTGAGCAAAGAATTCAAAGTGAAGGATCTTGATCAGCTTCGATACTTCCCTGGGATAGAGATAGCTCATGGACCTAAGGGGATTGTTCTCTCCCAGAGGAAGTATGCGCTAAATCTTCTTGCAGAGATAGGGATGTTAGGGTGCAAGCCTGCTGCTACACCGATTGATCAGAGTTTCAGGCTGAGTGCTGAGGCAGGAGAAACTGTTGATCATGAGAGATATCAGAGATTGGTGGGCAGGCTAATCTACCTGAGTCACACACGCCCAGACATCTCATTTGCGGTGAGCGTGGTGAGCCGCTACATGCATGACCAGAGGAAGGGCCATATGGATGCAGTATATCAGATACTGAGGTATCTAAAAGGTGCCCCTGGTAAAGGACTAAGATTCAGGAGGAGTGACCATGTGAACATTGAAGGCTACTGTGACTCAGATTGGGCTAGCTGTGGAGATGATCGGAGATCCACCTCAAGGTATTGCATATTTGTAGGAGGCAACTTAGTCTCCTGGAAAAGCAAGAAGCAATCTGTGGTGGCGAGATCAACAGCTGAAGCGGAGTACAGAGCCATGGCCTTGAGGGTTGCAGAGCTGATGTGGCTGAAGAACATGCTGGTGGAGCTGAACCTTGATCAAGGGGCCAAGATGAGTTTGTGGTGCGACAACAAGTCAGCTATCAGCATCGCCAATAACCCAGCTCAATATGACAGAACTAAGCACATCGAGATTGATAGATTCTTCATCAAGGAGAAGTTGAACAGTGGACTACTGGAGTTAGGCTATGTTCCAACTAAGGAGCAGGCTGCAGACTGCTTGACTAAAGGGCTTAGCTTAGTAGATCTAGCTAGAGGATGTGACAAGATGGGCTTAATTGACATCTTTAGCCCATCTTGAGGATGAGTGTTGAGAATGTAATGCAATTAACGAGTCTTAGAGGGCCTTTGTGTAAACGTGTGTGTAAGGCTATATAAGCCAACAATTCTATCAATGAGAATATGAGAAGAAACCCTAGAAAACCCAATTCACTTTACAGCAACTATGCTTAGAAATGGGGCAAGTATTTAGGTGAAGATAGCCGCAATTATGGAATGTATCCACATCATTTGGAATGGGGCGAGGAGCACTATAAGTCGTTTGACGCTTTTCTGGTCAAATGCTCAGGTACAAATATTTTTATATTTTGATTTATGCAATTATTTTACATTCATTGAGTACCTAAAATTTAATGTGATTCATTTGTTTGTGCAGAAATTCTACTAGATTCTCCCCTAGGATCCTAATCTCCCTCTCAATCATCTTGCTATCTACCAAGGCGTGAAGTTGAGGATGCAAGAGGGGGTTCAATATCGTAGATGCTAGATTAAGAAGAAGTGTTATAAACTATGAAATAACACTGCCAAAGGCGAGAGGGAAGGACTCTCTGACATTCCGCCGTTCTCTTTGATTGATAGAGACAAATGGCCGGCTCTTCATGCCTATTTTGCTTCTGAGGACAAGAATGTGTATAAAGTAATTAAATCAAATTTTAGTATGTAATTGGCTTTGTCATTGTCAGTTTACAAATTTAAATCTAACATTGATGTGTAGATTGAGGCGGCATGCAATACTGAGAACCGAGAGTCAAACAAGAATGGTAGAGCAACCTATACAGGTGGCTCAGGTGGCTTGAGAAGCATGAGTCGGGCCATGGAGGATTGGTGAATTTTCTTCTAATGGCTTTTTAAAATCCATATTACACATTTCTTAATGAGATGATCGATTATACATATATGCATATGTATTTTTGGTGAATTGCAGAGACGTGAAATAATCTAGGTACACCTACACTTCTAAAACTCTATATGGGTACTTACTCATCATCGGTGGACAAGAGCACAAGCAACTATATATACCTAGATGCATCCACTAAGAATTATTGTGCAAGTGTTAAGGTGTTAGCTATTTCCAAATTTTTTTTCTTAAAAATGTATTAAATATGGTGAGAGGGAGAGTCCCAAATGGTTGAAACCGTTTTGGGCCACTGTTTGAACGAATGCAGCTCCAACGGCATTTGGTCAAATGGTTTTAACCATTTGGGACATAGTTTACCCAAATGGTTTCAACCGTTTGGGCAAAGCAGGTTTGTACTAGTGTTGGAATACAACAAGTTAGTGAGATAAATTTTGATTTCTGGTTAATTACATGTTGTGATTATCATTGACACATATGAGAGATCTAGGATAACTGTCAACTATACAGGCTAAGGATAGGACTAAAGGTAAATCCAAGACCTTCATGCGCAGTTCTTAGAGCTTCAGCCTAATAATTTAGGGAACCGGAAAAAAATATTGGAATTTCGGAAAAGCTAGGGAAAAAGTCTTTTAAGGTAGATGTGAAAATCAAGAGATATATTAATTTATGGTTCAAAGGAAGCTACCTATGGAGGAATTTTCTTGGCAAAGGGTTAGTGGATTAGCAATTGGAGAACCATTTTATGGCCAGTGCACCAAAGTGAGATGCAAAGATGATGGCAAGTTTCTCAAATCAGGAAAACATTACCAAAAGCAATAATAAGGTAGTGGAGACTGCATCTATCCTTTTTGCCAGGCAACAGTTAATTAGATTTCAGCCTACCAACTAGCCATATTTGATTATTATTTATAGGATGCAAATACTACCATGTCATGAGTATGCTTGCACATATATTCTTCAATTTATCAACAAAAAGGGTCTAGTAACTTAAGCTGTTCAGTATTATCTCGGTTTATTATTAATTTTTTTAATCTTCCATCACGGAAATGAAAGACTTAAAGAAGATCTCTAATCTCCATATATGTAAACTAAAGAATATTTCAATTTCACATATGTTAACTCAACATACTACAGTCTTAAAAACTAACACTGATATTTACTTGGAATGTGCACGTGCAACTAATATCTTCAAATTTTATGAATTAAATAGATCAACTAATATTAACCTGCAAGGTACACTCTAAATACAAGTATCAAATGAATAACCTCCATATCAGCATTTACAGTACAAAACTTCATTTGAGTAAGATTCTGTTGAAGATTAGGTATTGGCGTTTTACATCACCATGTAAAATCTAAGTTTTTGGCTATATATATAAGAAAGAGTAAAGGGACTTTTATGAAAAAATTGTTAGAGCGTTCTAATAGCAACAAAGGACTCTTAAAATAGTAAAAACCCTACCCTAGTTCCTTCCATCATATTTCCGTCAGCCTACTCCTTCTCCTTCCTCCCGTCATTGTCTTGTCGCACAACAAAAAAATAAAAATAAAAATAAAAAAAAGTAAAATTGATCAGATCTGTTTTGAAGGAGGGTAGGTCAGGATTGTTACACAAATATAAGAGGTATTACTTCTATCTTTAGTAATTACTTTATGTGGCAAATTTTTGTATTAAATTATTTAGATCTTTTTTTAGATGATGATTAGCAGTAGTCATTTTTCCACTCTTATAGATTTCATAGGATATCAAATTCATATACCTCGCTGCTGTACCTTTACCACCAGTTATCTATTAAGTGGACTAATATTATGAACTGTGTTGACTATGTTATGTTATTGAATCAACTTGCCAGTTTGCAAGTGGACGAGTGCCAAAAGGAGTTGATGACAGAACTACAAAGAGCCGCGCATAGGGGATGAAACAACTCAGAAGGGTCAACCTGAAGTAAATTTTCAAGAGAAAAGATAACAACATGATGACAACAATAACACCATTAAGGGTCCGTTTGGATAATGGAAGTATTAGAAGTAAGAAGTAGGTTATAGAAGTAACTTTTAAAGCTATGAAGTAGGAAGTAGTGAAAATAGCATTTTTTTTTGTTTGTTTCATATATTTTTAGAAGTAATAGAAGTAGAACTTCTTCCTCTTCATTTACTTTTTTTGTTTGGATAACATTTGAAAATATTACTAAGAAGTAATTTTATCATTGAAAAGTTGTTAGAAGTAACTAATAAAGGAAATATTAATAAAAAAATTTATTTATGTCTAATTAATATGCATTTCAACTACTTCCGAGCTACTTCTGAGTATTGAGGATTGGAAAAATATTTTGGAAGTAAGGATGACACGTAGGCGTCACATAAGCATTTAGGGAAGTATTGGAAGTAAGTTTTTTAGAGAACCAAACACATTTTTTTGCTTGGAAGTAGCAGAAGTAGCTTTTACTTCTTTTACTTCAGCTACTTCACAATTACTTCCGTGCAAACAAACAGGCCCTAACTGAAAATAGTAAAAACAAAAAATGGGAAACGCCACCCGTACTAACATTATTTGCAGATTCTTCATCTTTACAGCAGATTTCACGAAGTAGAAAATATGGGTGTTAGTTATGATGCTTCAAATAATTACTGGATAGCGCTAGAAAACTAGTAGAAAGACATCTACATAGTTAAGATTGGTGGAAGATTTCACAAACCCTTATTTGAACTCGCTCAAGAATGTGCACTACTGGAACTGAAGGTAGATCAGAAAACAGTAGAAGACACCTACAAAAGGAAAAAGGAAGATCTCCAATTACACATCAAAAACCCAAGTTCAAGAAGTTCTCTTTTCCTATGAGTATATGTAAAAGTGAATAGAAGGATTTTGAATTTCAATCAAATCCTTCTTAGAAAAAAGAACATTTTACTCAAAAGACTAAGAAAAATAGAGATATTGGTTTTGGGAAAACTAGCTTCTAACTATTCTATCCACAAATATTAAAGCTAAGGAGGAGAGAGTCATCCACCTCAACCTCTTCTGACCCTGTTCCTTCTACAAACTAACCCTGTAAAAAGAAAAGTAAAACCGAGGTTGACGAAGATAAGCTAAATCCCCATTATTCTCTTCCATTATGCGCAAATAAACAAATAGTCTAAGTGTTTCATTTGAGTCCGACATTAAAAACTGATCAAACTTTCTGATGGAAACAGTGCTAAAAGAATTTAAACCAGTTTTGCTCATTATTCAAAACACTTTTTTGTTTTTCAAAGGAAACCAAAAACCAAATGTAGAAGGAAATTACAAACTTTCATTACAAAGGACTCACAAGGTCAATACAAGCACGCACACATTCCTGACCACGCCTATTGAAATTAACAAGTTACAGAGTAGACTTCAATTTTCAGTAAATTATACATAACTGGATAAAAGGACACATATAACCACTACATACAAGGTTCTGTCACGTTGAAGAATGCATAGCTAACTTTGGTTACCGATATCGCCTCCATCACCTCCCACAATCTCCTCAAGGTATGTCGTGATGACTATTTATCTGATTATTGATGCTTTTCCCATCCACGAGCTCTTGGCTCTTTTCTGTAAATGCCATTTGTCGCGTGTCTATGCGGAAGCGTGCTCGCTCACCAAACAAGTCGTAAGCACGGGAGAAGATAACCAATCACACACAAACACAATCTGAAACTAAAATATGACAGATCAATCACAAACATAGAGATATATGTGGTTCGGCAATTTGCCTACGTCCACGGGGAGATTCCACTAAATCAAGGAGAGTCCAAAGGGTTACAATCTCACAAAAGCTCACAAATTAACCCTAAACCAAATCTCTCAACTTGCTCACAAGTTCTCCCTCTCAATATACTCAGTACAACCTAAAATCTCTGTTTATAACTCTCATCTTTTTGATAATCCTAATCTCTTCTAAGGCGTTCCATATATATAGAAAACATAAAATCAAAACAGACTAGGAATTCTAAAACAAAAAACAAAACAAATTAGGAATTCTAATAACCTCTTACCAAAACAGATTAAGAATCATGTTACCAAAATAGATTAGAAATCCTAATAACCTGTTACCAAAACAGATTAAGAACCTGCTATCCAACAATTCTCCACCTCGACGAAGTATTCCCAAAACTGAGCCGACACCAACATGAGCACCAATGTGTCGTCTCACCAAATTCGGCTGCACCAATGTGGTTGCCTACTTATCCCCTCTTCCAAGGGATCAAGCCGCCCATAGTTCATCCAAATGATCGTTAACGGTCTCAACAATCATGAATGTGTAACAACCTTCTACAATGATCAACCTTGTTGTTCGGAACCATCTTAGTAAGCATATCCGCCAGATTATCCTTCGTGTGGACCTTAATGATCTCCACATCACCATCTTCAGGAACATCCCGAATTAAGTGATAACGAACATCAATGTGCTTCGTCCTCGCATGAAAAATCTGATTCTTCGCCAAATAGATAGCACTCATACTATCACAATAAATAGTGACGGACAGCTGTGATATACCAAGTTCCTCCAAAAGTCCTCGAAGCCAAATAGCCTCCTTCACAGCCTCCGTAATCATCATATACTCTGCCTCCGTCGTAGACAAAACCACTATAGACTATAAAGTACATTTCCAACATACCGGCACACGGGTCAAAGTGAACACATACCCCGTCGTAGACCGGTGCTTATCCAAATCTCCGGCATCATTCGAATCAACATAGCCAATGCACAACTACTTACCTGTAGTGTTCTGTTCAAAAACTAAACCAACATTAAGAGTACCTCGAATGTACCTAAAAATCTATCTCACGACATCCTAATGACCCACTCCTGAATCGTGCATGTATCTCGAATTCATGCTCACCATCTATGATAAACCTGACCTCGTACATGTAGACGGTAAAAAAATACCTCTATAGGCTTACGGGAAATTCGCCTACGAGGAGAGCTCGCACGCTCAACTCTCTGGCACGGGCCTAAGTCGCGTAGACGTCAGATATGCTCGATTCTAGGTTCGCCTGACGGTCGG